ATTTATTGGCTGTGAATATTCCAGGGTATAGCTTCCTTATATATAATTTGAGAACAGACAGAGAGGCAGGTTACTGATTATTTAAACTACTGCAGTTTTTCAAAGTTAATTTTTTTCTCTTTTGTAAAGATACAGTAGGAGCTTTATTGTGCAGCAAGATTTAGCACATATTGAGAGAAATACGTATTTGCAGGAAGTGTAATTGAAGTTACTGCATTTTCGACATTATTGTTGCAGCACTAATGAATCAGTTTCACAGGAACCACAACAAACTGTTGCAAGAAGCAAAGCTTTGCAAAGATGGACTGCAAAGGCTGTCACCCACCCCATTTCAGACTAGTTGCTTGACCTCCTCCACTGTGTACAAGAGGAAGAAGGGCAGTTATGGAGCCTCCCCACATTTCCCTGGCTGGCTTCATTTTCTTCTGTGCAGAAAATAGAAAGTGTTGCATTTACTCAGCGTGGAGGACAGGGGTGGGGCAGGAGAAGAGAAAGCACTATGGTAACTGGTGGGAGTGCCATGAGTAAACAGGCTGGAGAAAGAGGGGTAAGGCAGGCTTGTGTACTTGCCACTTGGCAGCTTGCCTGGGGGCAAATGCTGTTCCCTGCAGACAGCCAGGCAAGTGGCAAACTGCCAGTCTGAAATACGAATAGGCATTTACACTGCCAACCCAGCAAAACATTTAGCTAACAAGGCACTGCACACAGAGAACGCATCTGCAGGCACTTGCCTTGCAAAAACCACAGGGCTCTACAGGTTCAACTTTTATACAAATGTTGAGACTGAGTCACTCTAAAAATGAAAGAAACCAAATCATGATAGTTTTAAAGTGACAAGGAAGCAGACAAGAGTGATAAGAAAGTGACAATTAAGGGAGCAGACAAGAGTGATAAGACTACAGTCAAGGCACTGTACAGAAGAACATTTTCAGAATATCAGAAGATTCAAAACATTCTGGTTTCACCACAAATGCATTTGACCAAACAACAGCACATAGCCAGTCTGCATGAGATTCCCACAGTATTTCATGCAGGGTGAAGAGCAAGGCCTAGACTCTCATTTCAACTTTATTGAAGTAATTTTAAACATTACATTACTTAAGTGTGCTTAAATATATTATACTTAAGTACTTAAGTACTTAAGTATAATTATCATCTAATATTTGAGCCAACAACAGTCATGTTCTAGTTGGCATTCTAAAACATGAAAATTGACATATGTCGTAAAATTTAGCTACTTTTTAACCCGACAGCATAGGACCAAAAAAAAAAGTCTGAGCACTGTGCAGAGTAAAGGATTTTCACCAAGTCAAGTTGACAGCGGAATGAGTTCATTCAAGCCACTACTTAGATGCAAATTTAATTTTGACGTATTTATGAATAAGCAGCAGCTCTAACAAAAAGTTCCTCCTTCTCACAGAGTATAAAAATTTTGTGGGCTACTTCTCTGCACAGCAAGAAACCCAGATTCCCAGCTTCTTGCTCCCCCTTCTCCCATATGTGCAGACCTCAACTATACTGCAAACAGTTGATAAAACTGGAATCCTACCCATTTCCTAGAAGCTCATACTTGAAACAACAGCTAACAAACAAAATCCTATCATGTAGGTAGTTCCTACATAGGCACTAACAACAGCCACCATCATCCAAGCATCAGACTGAAAGGGGCAGATTGCCAAGACATGAGTATAAGAGGAGGCTGTTAGAAAATAAAATGGCAACACACAAGATTTTGTTGGAGGAGATCTCACCACAACACACACATCCACCACCACCTCCAAGGGAGTTAAAAAGGGAGAAGCAAGACTGGAGGAGAGGTAGCAGTCAGAAGGCTGGATATGCTTATAGGGCAAGTTTCCAGTGAAGCCATGTGGTGCAATAGGTCAGAAGTTTAAAAACCACAGGGAAAGCATGTACAGATGTGCAGAGAACCTAAGATATTTTGCATGAATCATGGACCTAGTTGTACAGAGAAAGACACTGGGAAGGCAGCTAGTAGATACTCACAAGTATAAGCCTTGCTCATACAGTCTCTATTTTAAAAAAGGCTTTACCACATCAAGTACACAGAACAGAACAATCACCTCCCTTACAGAAAGCCAAACAATTTCAACCAATCAGTAGCGCTGAGAATTGTTACAGAATTAGTGCAGATATTCATCTTTTGTCAGTCATAAAAGTCTGTCAGTGACACTGCAAGACTTTAGTGCTGACCTTGCAAGCTTTAGGCTAAACGTGAAGGCACATTTTTACAGGGTGAAGCAGCAAGATTATAACAAAAGTAGTGTCTATAGACACAAACCATTGAAGGGATAATACCAATTCACTGCCAGCACTATGAACTGCACTGACTGGGAAACAAAAACATTCAGCATATTGTGACTTTTTAACTTCACTGATTAATGCAGATTGGTCCAAGACAAAAATCTGAACCAAAATTTAAAATATTTATTTATTTATTATTTTCGATTTATAACCCACCTTTCCTGCAAACGCAGGCTGTTTTCAGAAGATGGGTTTTCAAAAAACCTACTGCTACCATATAATGCTGATTTAAGTGCCTACTACTAATGTTGCCTTTATAAAGGTACTAGCACTGCTGCAAGTGAGGTACCAGATAGGTAGTGGATACCCTTCACATCTATGTAGCAATGTATTCCATATACTCCTGTTTATAATTCTCTTCCAGTGGCCAAAATTCCTGGCTTAAACCCACTTCTCTGCTGCCCTACAGTGCTCCTGTTATCATCCGCCCAAAGCCAATCAGTAACATTTGCTTGGCCTTGGAGCTGCTTCAAAAGGACAGACAAAGCCCCAAACTAATTCCTAACATTAATTTTTTATTCATAGGCTCTAATTGCCCATTTTGTTTCAATAGCCAGCAGCAGCACTTTAAAAACATATAAAGTACAAGATTTATATAAAGTCATATAAAGTCAAGAGGAGTAGCCATCTTTTACATATATTTCCATGTGTACGTTTTCCAGAAGTTAATCCAAAATACTTCTCATTACAGATATATAGAGACATCACACACACACACACCAAATTTAAAAAAAAGCACTCTAGGTTCAGAAGCATCAACAAACTTTCCAAAAAGAAAACAATGGGGTTAGGCCTCTAGAGCATATCAAGACAACCGTCTGAGAGAAGAGGCATTTTAACAAGAAAGCCAGATCCAGCCTTGGCCGTGGATGGTATAGCGACTGCTCCTATCCTGGGGGGGGGGGGCGGGGGCGGCAGAGAGACCAGTTACCCGGGCAGGACTAGTGTCCCATATCTGTCCCTAGTGTTTTGTTTTGTTTGTAAACAAAGACGTTAAAAACAGCAACTCTACCTCACTGGCAAATGCATTTGGGATGAGCAACGCCAAAGCAACAGCGCTTCGGTAGTTACTTTCGTGGCCAGCCATAAAAAGGGAGGGGGGGGGGGGGAGGAAACAGAGCCAGGCCCAGAGATGACAGGTCCCAAGCCGGGTGGAGCAGCCAGGGTCGGCCAGTGAGTTGGCAGCCCGGCGGGGAGGGAACAAGACGGAGCCAGAGTGGCGACGAAGAGAAGTAAAGGGCAGAAAAAGAGAAAAGGGAGAAGGGGGCCGGAGTCCTCCGAGGGAACTTCTAAAGAGGACCCCGAAAAGAAAAGGGAAAGGGAGCGGGGAGGTCGCAGGGCTTCGGCACAAGACGAGGGAAAG